CATAGGCGACATTTCGAACTCCAGGCGGCTGATGCGCTCGGCCTGCGCGTTGATGGTATGACGCTGCGTTTCGATGTGAGCCTTGCATTGTCGGCAGTCTTCGTGAAGTTGCTGAAGCTGCGCATCCTTGGAGGCGGCATAGTCGCGCCAACGCGAGATGCATGCTGTCATCTCGTGTATGATGATCGCGACGAGTCGTGCGGTGAGGTTGTCGGGTCTGCCGTTTGTTGCAAGCTGAGGTGCTTCCATGTTGATCTTCGCTGTTTTCGGTACTGCCACGCTCATCAAGCATCTGGTCTGTATATACGGCGTTCTTCCAAGGAAAGCAATGTCATTGGAGCGACTAAATAGTTTCTGCAACCATCCAAACTGACCGTTCTGCAATGGTCCCAAGCGGGCACAAAGCTGCTGATGAGAGGTTGCCACCATGCGCAGCCATAACCAGCTCTAGGTTTTAAGAGTTGGTCACAGTACGTGAGAGTAAACTGACGACTCCTGGCCTGATAGAAGAAAAAGAAGAAGAAAAAGTTACAGTAATACTGCGTATTGGCAGAACAGTCTTTTTACCTACTGTACTTTTCCTCATTGTCTGGAGCACCGTGGCTCAGATATACAGCACGTACATCTGTACGGCACCTTATAAGTTCAAGCCAAGATTAAATAAAGATGGTTTTTGCATATGAGTAAGGGGACCGATGTGGTAATTGAGCATAGAGAAGCAGGCCAGTGGCTTCCCTTCGGTCACGATCTAGCGTGGTTATCACCAGCTAGTCATGTACATGGCGCTCCGCCAATCACCCGACTTATCGAGGCTCGATCGAACCTCGCCTCTGAGGTGCCATTTCCATAATCGCGGGGACCATTCCGTCGTAAGTCGTTCTTTCAAGCGTGATGTCTCAGACTGCTGTAGGTTGATTCGTCCAGCTTGCGCCTGTGGGGTGCTCAGTGCCTAGGATCATGCATTCTTCACGACTACCGTGATAGTCCGTAGCTCCCCACATTCAAAGCATAGACCGCAACCAATACACTTCCAACAAAACTCTTTGAAACATCACGCGGATCTTCTCGGTGATTGGCTTGTTTATACATCACAATCGTTTGGGTGCCACTATAGTCTGGCTGAGCTGTGTGGCCGTCGCAAGAGTCTCCCGGAACTTGCAAAGCATAAAACCACAGCGTTGCTCAGACTGCTGGTTTTGAATGTTTTTGATTAACGCTCTTTCTCGAACGATTTTAATATTTATTGGCCCTTTGCCGACGCACCTCTTTCGCCATATCCATACTACCCCACGCCCACAAAGGTTGCATGCTCAATGGCGGTTCTCCGCTGGAAGAACTCAAATACTGCCACCTGGGTTGACAAAACCAAGGCCATCGTAGAAGGGATCGCCTCCCGGCTGAAGTCGTTATGTATGTGAAGGCCATGGCCCCGTTTTCCAGAAGGATTCTGATCTTTACCGCAGTTACCCCCTTCAAGAAAATCACAGGTGACTTGGCATATGACAATGGTAGCACTGCCGAATGGGTTCCTACTATCGTACCTTGTCGTCGGCTCGAACCTGACGGAGGTCGGGATGTCCCTCGGGACGAACCTCCCTGGTGGATACTGCGAGAACCGGCGCCTCCGGGGCTTACCACTCGAGGCATGAGTAGCAGCTCTCCCTAATGTGGTGCAACTTCTGCATAGTCTTTGGCTATGCAGCAGTTTCTTTTTCGCATGCAGTTCAAGACGCGACTGCCAGTGAACACAAACGGGGGGGCGTGGTATCTCGCGTGATGTGAGGTCTAGGCGCGTGCCATTCAGCGGGAAACCATCCGACACCCCTTGACCATTGGGTCTCGATACCGTTTCTCTCAAACGCATACTAGCAGCTTCAAAAAAAGATATATGAGTGAGGGTGTCGAGGAAGTGTGCGCAAAACCTTGATGTTCGCTCTACATTGCTTTCTTACACTCATAGCACCCAGGGCCAAGTCAGTACAAACAGAGAAAGCCGTCAAAGGGATGTTGAACAGTTAGTTGAGATGTGCGTGCTGGGCCTTCAAACCAAAGTGTACAAGCAAGTTATAGTCGTTATGGAGTAGAACAGAAATCTACTAACCGAACCTATCCACGTTGTCAAGACACAATAAGTTTGCTCAGTCATTTAGAGAACGGTCACACAAGTGTCTCCACGATTGAACCTCATCGAGATATACCAGTGACTCAATTCTCTTGAGAAAGCTGTTTCTGGCTTTTTCGTGCATTATATCCATGACATCATCGTCACTGGGGCGTTTCGTAAGGTGATGGCGCGATATGCTCTTTCCCAGCGCTCGCAGCCAGTTGCTGCGGTCGTATCTGCCGCTGAGGAGCAATTAGATGCATGGTGGGGAGGGCCTAGAACACGCCACATTCACTACCCACTTCCAGTCCACCTTGAGAGGTCGATTGGCGACCACGCTCAGAGTGGAAGGGTGAGGAGGATCTGTTTCCTCGGGTAGTGGAGCAACAGCGCTCAGATCAAGAAAGCGATAATTTGACCGCGAGGGGTGGACCACCCTTGAGCCAGTTTCGACTGGGAACCGCTGAGAGTGTTAACTGACCGCGCTGCGAAACCCGGCTAACGGACATCGTTAGCAGTTTTTCTGTAACATTCTAGAACCTTCATCAAAGTAGACCTTCGTTTGTATCTGTTGCTATGATGGTCAACGTAGGCAAGGGAGTAGAGACACGAAAATTGGCTCCACAGGTCTGTGAAGTGCGTGCTGCCACGTCTTTTTGCTACTGTAAAACACCGGCGGCATTGCATGCACCTTCATCGATCAGTTGGATGAAACTAATAGTTTTCGTGTTAGGTACTGTATTTTCCAGACTTAGAGCACCATAAGAGGAAAGTTCCGTAGGGAATTAGCAGCTGGATGGCTTCGCTGTTGTTCCGACTGCCAAAGCTCCGTCAGTCACGCAGTACCCATCATTTTGACAGTCGATCATAGATAAACAGTGACACTTCACTGACGGCCCTAAATCGTCTGGTCCGATATAGAAAAGCCGCTGCAAGTTGTCATACCCCTCGGCTCCCGCCGACAAATTTGGCAACCCAAAGTCGCCGGCCAGAGGATGCAGGATCGTATTTCCAATGCAACGCTTGAATTTTTCGCCCACAATCAGGCTAATGTTGGCACTATTGATCCGTTGACACCTACCGTCTGAATAGGCGATCTGATATGCGCTCGACAACATGGAAAATGACATCATTCTATCGAGTATATCAGAACATACTTAGTGACGGTTCTCCACCAGCGGTACCGCATCTGCCCTGCAGGCTTCTTGTTGTTCTTGACCAACGAATCAACTTCGGGACGAGGTAAGTGCCAGGTTGGCAATCCCACTGCTGCCGTCGGAGGCCGTCCAAGCTGAGGGGGCCTCGGATGGAATTGGGTACTCGTATTCGAGGTGGGACAGCTCGTCCATTGGCATATGTGGTATTGGCACACCATCTCGCTCCGCGGGGCTATCTATGTATATACGCCGGCAGACCATAAACCAGAATAGGCACTGGTCTCTCCAGCGTCCAAGAAATACGGATCTGCACCGACCAACGTTTCTGATGGGTTCTGTTCCAGCTGCTCCATCGCGTGAATCGAAACTTTCCGTCAGCAAAGGCCAATACGAGAAGCCAGAACACGCAAGAGTACAGTACCTCTGGTGGGTCAGGTGCGTTCTGCACGCTAAGGTGGGGTGAGAGAACATTCCGGTAAGATCATGATAAATATATTTCAAATTCTGCCCGTTTCATAAGCTCCACTCGACAAAGAGCAATCGTTGCCTGTACGTACAGTGGGAAGTTTTTCAACATCTTCAACCGCTGTGAGAAGGCGGCATAGCGCTTTTTGCGCCCGGTAGCAGACGTTACTGTCTCTGGGGGAAAGCTCCTAAACCGGCTACTTACATGCTCAGAAGCTGTTTTGGCCATGTTTGCCGCATCGAATCAGTTTGGCATACATGCAACCACGCAACGAAAAGGATCGAAGCCAACATTCTGAAAGTTTTATACGTACATTAATTCCAGAACAAAACTTGCAATAACAGACCATAATTAAAAGCACTTGACACGTCTCCAGGCAGAAGATCAGTGATAGAGATTGACCGCCTTTCGTGATTACGTCGCGAGCGTACACCATTTACCGGAGAAGCGAATTGCACAGAGATGGAAGGCTCTTTGCGAACGAGTAAGTCTTGATCGCAGCTGAACTCCTCTTCACGTCAATGACAGGGCCTTCCAAGCCGAAACGTACGCATGCGACAGACTACAGAGTCTGAAGCCGCCTGCTTCAGCCCGAAGCGAAGAAAGACAACCATTAGGTACACGCAGTTCACGGTACGCTTCTGATCTTCTTCCTTTCACAAACTCCAAATCTGACTGCTTGCTAGCCAAAAGAGCCAGAGAAAGGGTAACCCTGGCAATTTCGTTCAGCACGGGCCAATCACGCCCGGGGCCACTTTCAGCTGGGTAACGAACGGTAGACTTGTTATAGAGTTCGTCAATGGCAGGATGGCATACTATTTTGTGGCGGAGGATGGCCGTGTGATAGGTGTCTATCCTGGGGTTTGGAGTTGTCCACCTGTGTTCCAGTGATCACCAAATTGAACGTCTGCAGGTGGTTTTTTGGCTCATATCACCTAAGAGAATTCTGTACGTCTGGCGCCTTATGTATCATGACAATGGTAAAAAAGAGCATGACGATGAATGTGCAAGTGAGTGCACAAGAGCTGCCGCCTATCGTTGTATTTCCATCCCACGACACTATCTAAAGGCGTATGGTACATGGATTGGTATTTTAATTCACTACTCTAGGCCTTATGCTCTAATTAGGAGAGTTTGCCAGATTCTAGCTCTTACTAGATCCCTCCATAATGGCCCCTTCCTCTCGTCGACTGACTCTACTGTCGGGAATATCGTTGTTTGGCATCTTGGTCAGGAAATTACGCGATGCTTCGCCCGCTTTGTTCGTTTTGTGTGGATCATGACACCTGACGGCAGGCTCGGATCTTTTCCTACCTCCAAGTCTCTGAGGCGTACCGTCTGGCCTGACGTTGGCGGTATATCCGCTGATGAAAACTCGCTCTCCCGGCGGAACGGCGATATCGATTTGTTTCGGACGGTTGAGGACGTATATTCATTCGCTTCCTTCAGCCTCAGCTGGAACAAAGCGTTTATGGGCAAGCTTCGTGATTGTTCTGTTGACGCAGGATGGAGTGCTGTATCCGTAGAAGAGAGCAAAAGGTCTTCATGAATATCGGCAATTGTTCGCCCGAACCGCACATATAGGAAAGGTTGCGAAGATGGTGAAGTCATTTTCTGATGTCGCGAGGTTGAGATGACGAAGTTTCCCGTCTCTCACGGCATTAGGGCTGTTTATGATAGCAAGCCGCATGAGCCACATTTGGCAGCAGTCTTGCCACCATCAATTTCGAAGACGGAATATACGCCATGTTTTCGGCTGCAGCTACTATCGGCTTCGAAACATGCACGTCATATATAACAGAATGGATGAGAAACC